CTAAGTGAATGAGTAAAAAATTCAACTTCGCGCCAACCCTAGCTCGGTAATGAATGTTTTCTACATAAATTTTCTTCATTTTCTTTCACCTGCCAAAAATTATTTATTTCCCCCCAGTTGTGAATAATTCATAAGGAGTGGAGAGAAAATGGCACATAAGTCTTGTTGTTGTTGTTGCGACTGAACAAAAGAACAAATTAAAGGCAAAGCCATTACCGATGGAAGTTTTGTAGATATTACTGTGCTCTTTTGAAGTTGTTGGAACAAAGACGATGCTGTGTCCAAATGTATGTATGTATGTGTAAGTACATTTGTTATCAAAACAAACTCTTTTAACAAATACCGTTACTTGTTGATGAAACGAAGGGAGCGATACAACGCCACGGCGAATTGTTTACCCAACTTAAGCACTAATTTATTGATGGATCTTTTTTATATGGCACCCTTGTTGTGCAGAATATATACACCGAATTGTTTACCCTTTGCTTGGGAAAAAGGGTAACATTACGAGCCACAAATAAAAAGACCTTTTTAATTAAAATTCTTTATATCCCATACTTTGGTAAACAAGTTTATGATATTTACAAAATAGCACAGAAGTGGTCTGCTATAATTGTTATTTATCTAGGAATGCTTATTCCCAAGGAATGTGCACAGCCATTGACCTAGTTCTGACCAAGTTCAAAGAATTTTTCCCAGAACTATGTATGTTTTTCGCATAGTTAGATGTTGGATAGGTTGTGTTTATTTTGTACTAATGGGAGTGGGGAAAAACGAAATAATGCGGCATGTTCAAACTTCCCCTTAAAGGAAAAAAAAAACAGTTGAAAACAAGTCCGAATGCACGCAAATTCAATGATTGCCTGCCCATGTATTTTTACAAGCAACGTAAAGGTCGCATTCAATTTCGGACATAGATGAAATTTTGTACAGCTCATTTTTTGCCCAAGGGCCCTATACTAATTACTAGAAAAGCCTCTGTAAAATTTTAGCAAAATCGATTGTGATGCTATATTTTGTTATGCCGAGTTGAGTCGATCTCTCTTATAGCTCCGAATCACGCTATAGGTCGCAATTATGGCCCGATCCTTACGAAATTGAAAATGGAGGCGGGGTTAGGGTTAGAATATAAGTCTATATTAAGGGTTTGAAATGGACCAAAATCAGAAAAAATCCTGAAGTAAAATTTTGAAGTTACGCTACAGGCCACAATTATAGGCCAATAGACAGATTGTTTTTGGAATAGACGGAATTTTGCAGGGAGTTAGAGTTTAGGGCTGGACAGAGGCCTACCAAATTGGACGGCCAACGGATATTATTTAGCGGTTAAAATAAACAATAAACTTTATGCCAAAAAATACGAAAATTTTAACTAAACCGCGAATATTTTCAATCTCGGACAAATCACAAATACATTAAAAGGTCACTTCTGACCATTACAGTGATGCTTATAGCCAAGATATCGGATATATAGAAAAATAGTTAAAATCTATATTAAATGAAAGAGATGTTAGTTTTTCTGATTATCATCATCAATTCGGAATGGTCTTTTGCCTAAAAAGGTTAAAATTTAAGAAAATCGCGCAAAAATGTGATAATAAAAAAGTAAAAAAATTTTGTTATTTTTTTATCATATTTAATATTGCATGCGATTTTTTCAATTGCCAATTTTGAATTGTCCATTTTCTGAAGTTTTTTTTTACACAGATGACAATTAGCGTCCGATCCTCACGAAATTTGGTAAGGGGATAGGGTTAGGGTCAGAATTAAAGCTTATTGTTTTTGGAGATGAACATTTAGGGATTCAAATGGTCCAAAAAAATTCAAATTTTCCTGATTTGTAGTCGCTTTACAGGTCACAATTGAAAACAAATCGCCACGGAAATTTTCATAAGAAGAGAGTTAAGGACAGAGAATTGTCTAGCATTTCGGATGACCATTGGATTATATTAAGTTGTAAAATGGACCACAAATTTTGTGTGAGTGCGTAAATATTGGGCATTCTTGGGTGGCGCGTGCGCCTTTCTTGTGCGCTGGAAATAAAGCGAGGAGCCTCATTTTGTAACCATTCTCAGCGCGTCCTGAGTGCGATGGTGCTGAGTCCTATTGGAATGTCCAACGTCTGCGGCCAAGGCTTTAATACACTCTTCAGAATATTTTCGTGATAATATTCGGCATTTATTCTGATGCCACGGTCGATTAGTACGAGCGGAGAGCGACCATCGGCTGTTCGGCCAAGCGAAGCAACTCTTTGGCTCTTTTGACTCTATTTTCTTTCTGTTGTGATGTAAGTGCACTTTATGCACTTATTGGAATTTCAATGGGTTTAGGCCTAGCTCATTTTTGAATATTTGCCGAATGGAATATTATGAACCCTATTGAAATTGGAGATTGTCGGTCAAAATTTAGATATAGCTCCCATATATATCTTCGTCCGAGTTGCCTTTTATTGTGCACCAAAAGTGTAATATCGGCCCAAATAGTATGGAATTTTGCACAGGCGACCAAATAAGGCCCGAAAAGAGTATGCCAAATTTTATCTAAATCGGTTCAAAAATAGCTATAGCTCACATATATATTGTTCATCCGATTTGTTATTTTAGTTCTTGGCAGCGGTAATATGAACTCCTTAACAAAGTTATTTGGGGAAATATATCAAATACAGCTCAGAAATACTTTAGCTAAATATTATCGAGATCTGTTCAGATTTGTAATATTTACTCAAATGAGATGGAATTTGGCGCATATGACCATATTGGGTTCTAGCACAAGCACGTCAAATTTGGTGAAAATCGGTTCAGATATAGCTATAGCTCCCATATATATTGTTCATCCGATTTTTTTGAATTTGTCCTCCACAGCCGTAATAATATAGAATATCGTTATTCTTGAGATGAAAAAACTGCAACCAACTTCAGACTGCTGTCATTAAAATTATTCCAGAAACAGCTCATTATATTGTTTACAAGCGTTCAAAAGCTTTTTTGATGAGAATTTTCAAGAAAAAAAGTTATTCGTGGTGATTTCTTAATATTTGGCTGGAAAACCACAAGTGGCTATCGTTAGAGCACTCCAGCATTTATATGTGAATAAATCTTTTGTGTCTCGTACCATCGCTCGTTACTGTGATACTGGTAGCGTAGCCCGACGCACTCAGCACAAAATGAGGTTCTTCGCTTCATTATCAGCTCACATTGACCACCAAAATCTCCGGATACCAATCCGTTGGACTACTGTGTCTGTAGAATTTTAGAAAGTGTCGATCATCTCAATCAAGCCCTTCGCTGAGAATGGGCCAAAATACCGCAGAGCAACATTCGGCAGCTTGTGACGGTTTCATTGGCCGTTTGAAGGCCATAATTCATGCCAAAGGTGATCAATTCGAACAAATCTAAAATTTTATGCTATTTCCGACATTTTTTGCTTTTATTCTTTAAATATAAAAATTAGAAATCATGGCGTTTGACTTTGTTGCAGTTTCATCATCAATGTTCAAAGGTGATCTTAACAAGTATTTGTGATTTCGCCGGGATTAAAGATATTCCCTGTTTATTGGACAAAAGTTATGACTTAAGGTGCAAGTACATAACAAGCTTGAAGTCATGGCTAGGCATATTAATGTCAAATTATAATGGAAAACGAAGGCAGGATTTTAGTGCGGTTCTGTAATCCCTTTATGAAATGTTACAAAATACGCCTAGCCATGACTACAAGCTTCTTATGTACTTAGACCCTTATTTCATTCTTTAAATATTATCCGATGACCGTCCAAATTGGTAGACTTCTGCCCAGTCCTTAACTCTAACCCTATGCGTAATTTCGTCAATTTGTCTATAATTTTGGCCTGTACAGCAATTGCAAATTTAGCAATTTTTAATTTTTTTCGTTTTGACACCAAAATAATGATAACTCCCTATATTCTGTATTTTTAAGACTTAAACAGAATTTTTAACAGATTATATTTTTATTATAAGTTTGATTGCGGCAAATGCATGACCACTTCTTCATATAGCCACCGTATAACGGTCTTTTTTGAGTGGTATTTTTCGATAGATTTATTTTGGAAAATGTTTAAGTTCCTTCAAAATGGTGGAGGGAATTAAAAGCTCGCTCGAACGAACAAGTTCCCTTTCTAGTTCTCTGGACTTCTCTCGTTTGTATGAAAACTCTGCGTATGAGTTACATTAAATATATTAAATTTATGAAGTCACTCATACGCTTAGAATTCGAAATATTAAACACATTGACGTATTCATAAAAGGTCATGGCTGATCATATTTCTCTAATATAATCATACATTTGGTGTGATAAATATGCAAACTGGTCTTGGGTATACAACTATCGGCCCCGCACAACGTTGGTCATTTGTTTACTGCTCAAATCTTGTCGAAGTGTTATTTGAGTACGATACAGGAATCCCATGGTAGTGAGGAATTAGCAAAAATACCACTTCCGACAAACAGTAGCATATGACTTGTATAAATAATATTATTTTGGTGAAATGGAATTTTCTGTAGAATTTATTTTGTGATAATAAGAACTTATAAATTTGTCGAACATCCCTTTTAAAAATTGTAATTTCATAAATTACCCCATATATAACATGGTAATATACTTAGATACTTAAACCGTTTTCCCTTTGCGAATTTCCCCATACGATGAATTCTATAAAATGCGCAAAATATTCCACACGACATCCTTGCGAAATGCTGCAGACAATTATAGCATCTTACATTGTTGTTCTTTCTTTTTTTCATTACAAAGGATTCCAGCAAAAAGGGTTTCCCGCAATTAGATTGGACTAATTACGACTGGCCTTGAACAAAATGTTAAAAAGTAGAGGAACAAGTTTGCCAAGCAAAAGTAGTTACATTCGCAAATGTTTTGCAAAGCAGCAGGGTGCTCTTCTCTAGATGTTTGTCATAAAAATATGTGAGTTGCTAAGCCCGCCCAACATGGCCCAGAACATTGCAAATCATAAAAAAAATCCAAAGATTTACCTTAATCAGATATAAGCACTAAAACAGATGAGAATTTTCGAATAATCCTTGTTATTGTTGTGGCATTACAGTTCCATTATTCCAAGGGTTATGCTTTTCATCCGGTTACTATTGTTTACGAGTTTTGGTTTTGTTTTTGCTTTTTGTTCTTGTTCTGCGTTGTTTGTTTGGCGGCTATGGACATCAAAATCCCATTATTCGACCATCATCGTATTTTCAGATTAAGTACATGGCAACCGGGTAAACACAAAGAGGATCAAAGTGAATTTTTATTAACTTTTACTTCCCCTCAAAAACGTATGTCACAACCACTTTTGGCACTGGGGTTTAAAGAAAAATATAACGACTTTGTTAAAAAATAAATTATGGAACATATTTTTTCAATAATATTTTTTAATGGGGGAAATTTCATTAGCGTGTTTCCGAGCCAACAAAAAAAATTGTAAACTTTTTCAATTTAATTAAAAAAAAATAATGATTCTTGCTGGAACAGAACATATATGTTTTTCTTAAAGGTATTTTCAATTGACAGTTTCACTTTTGAAATATATATTTTTTAATTCTTTATTAAATTTTCTAAAATTTTTTAATGAACAATCGTGAGATTCACTTTGATTTGTTTTACATTCCCATTGGCGTTTGGGATATTGCCGCTCACGCATTGCAAACACGTTCACTCGCTGTGGCTTTTAGCCGCTTACTGTGGCTTTTAGTGTTTGCCAAAAAATATTGTCTAGGGCAAAAACAACACATCAACAACAGTTAAGCGAAGAAAAAAACGAAAGGTTGGGAAAATAACAAGTCTCAGCCATGCCACAGAATCAAGAGCGCTCTTAATGTGGGTGCCACAAACTACATTAGGCCAGAGAGCCCACAGACGGATGCCATCAACAACATTTAAGGTTTGTATGAGAATGGGGATGTGGACGGTTTATTGATGAGTTCCTCTTTTAAAATATTTAGCTTGGTTAAACAAAGTTTGCCTTTAAGAGATTCATACTTTTGAAGAGAACGCATTCGAAGAGAGTCTAACATACATTCCACAATATGGTAAGTCATTCATAATTTGCTTGTTTTGTTTTTAAAGAGATTTATTTTGTGACAAGGTGAGAGACATCGCCTACGGCAAAGTAAATCAAGTGAAAACAATTACAACAGCTGACTGATTCCCATCATCCTATACCACAGCACCCACTCACACTCCTATCCATTAATCTAGGGGAAATTTATAATAAATTATCTTGCGTGTGTAGTTTGATGGATGGGTCGGTCGAGTTAGTAGGGTTAACACACAAAGTTTTTTTCAAAGGGGCAGGTGGCAAATGTTGGTCCCCTTGTGCAAAATAATGTTCTTAATTTTTATACCCTCAGTCATATGGCTATATACCCTATATATCATTTAAACGTCAAAACGTGCCTAGTCGAGAAAGGGTTTTAGACCTTAGGTCTCTTTGGACCAAATCCGTTTCAGGACTTTTGGAGTCGATCTAGCGATGTCCGTCCGCATGTCTGCCTGGCTGGATGGTGCGCACGATAACTCTCGAAGGGAGTATCCGATTTGATCCAAACGTGGTACATCGTAATATTTTTGTCAAACTTAGACCGAGTTCGGAGATGGGCGATGTCGGTCCACTCCTTCTGGTAGCTCCCCCACAAAATGTCAATATTTTCAAAGAAAATATTTTATTGCACAACTTTGCAAATTCTATTATTTTCATCAGTGCTAGGTTAGGTACGACAATGAACAATATCGGTCCACTCCATCAAGTACCTCCCCCAAAAAGGGTCGAAATTTTGAATAATTATAACTCTTATAAAATGTACGGTAGAGATCGGACCATCTCTTCTGGTACCCCCTACAAAGGGTAAAAATTTTGAATATCCATGAAGGTCATAAAATGCGAAATAATCATCAGGTTTTCTTTATATTTCACACATCCCATTATTTCCACTAACAAAAGATCTGTTGTGAAGAAGGGATATATCGGTCCACTCCTTCTGGTACCACCCCCACAAAGGCTTAAAGCAAAATTAACATCCGATTCCATTCCAGACTTGGTACATCTCAATTTTCCCATCAACATGAGTTCTGTTATAAAGATGGTATAGATCAGACAATGTGAAGATAACATATATCTGCGAACCCCTTCTGGTACCTCACCCACAAAGGGTCACAATTTTCAATACTTTTGTCTGTCATAAATTGCGAAAAAAGTCGGCGTTCTTTACAACTTGCTACTTCTCTCAACCTGAGATGAATATGGAATTAATGATTTAGCATAAATTTGAATAAAAATATTCGATTTTCTTGTAATATTGCCCATTCTAATATTGTTATTTGTATTAGGTGAGGGATGAACATGGAATACTTCGGTCGACTATATCTGATACCTCACGCACATTTTAACATTTTATGAAAATATTCACATATCTCATACAACGAAACGAACGAACGAAATGGACAATATTGGTCCTTTTCTTCGGAATCTACTCCATAGGAGGTCAGTAATTTGAATAATCATAACAGAAGTCAAAATATATTTAACCAATCAAATATTGACTGAGGGTATACACCTGTCGGTAAAACTGACCGATTCTTTTTAACTTGTTAAAACACACGTTTAAAGCCAAACTTTGGGGGGCAAAAGAACTCAATGAAAAATTTTTTAAGTCAGAGGCAAATATGTACAATAGCCATCCTAGAAAGCGTTGAAGTACCTCTTGCACAAATTATTCAAAATATTTGAATTACTAGCCTCAAAAAATTAGAAAATGGTGAATTTCGCGCATCCTACTATTTCGACTCGTATGAATTATATCGTCCAGCGTCGAAGCCTAGTTACCAGGTAAAAGTACATATGCATTCAATCTATGTTGTTGTTTCAAGTGTGGTATCTAGGTTTGGATTACTCCCTACTTTAAATAATAATTTATATGATTTCGTTTACAAATATTGATAACGAATATATATTTGACCATGACAATTGTTTTATAGTCTATGCAGACATATAGACTACATTTGTATGAAATAAAATTGCAAGCTATTCATCACCACTACTTAATTATTATATACATATATTATTAGTATAATCTCTTACACCCTATTTTCATTTAGGTGCTTAAGGTAGTGCTTGAATGAGCGTTATTTATTTACTTATTGATTAGTATTTTAATACATGGTTTGTTGTCATTTTGTGTACCTGATACAAAAACAAATCGACTGACCTACTGTTATTATTTTTCCTTGCTTTTTCCTACTCCCTGTTTTCTTTGCTTTTGGTGTGTGTGTGTGAAAATTCTTTCTCATAATGGCGGGAAGCTAATCGAAGCGCATGTGACACACGGTTTAACAACGAATTGCCTCTTAGAACAGAATTGAATGACATACTTCCCTTATCATCAACGAAATATCTCATAATGATTCCAGATTACCCATAATCAAGGGCACTTAACTTTCTAGTCTATATGATTTTCTCTTAGAATCATAACATTAATACAACGTACTGTTAACTTAACATTGAATACACTGTTCCTATCAACAACGAAATAGTGAAACGTAAATGTAAAGTAAATATAACCGAATAATATATATGGTAAATTTAATAATTTTTGCAGGGTAAGTTGCCAAGATAACGATTATATTTTTTATTGATATTTTGGACGAATTTAAAATGGGGTATTTCGTATTTAAATAATTTTTTTACATATTTTTCAACGAATTTTTTTCGAAACTGGTAAGTGAAGTTTGCAATACTTCTTTAATTGATTGATTGATTTTTGGTATTTGAACCTCATAATGGGTATCATTTCTTCTGCTAGGAAATTATGTATACATCCTCAGGTTTTTATATAGCCCTCATATAACATCACATTGCTTTTATATTATTTTTGCTACATACTTTATGATACCCTACACCACTTTGCTTTTTTAGTAGAGCTTCACATAACAAATAAAAGTTTTTAAGAGGAATTTGTGAGAATTAAATCATACCATCTATGATTATAGTTATGATTTAAAGGAACTAATATATGAGAGGAATATACTCCTCTGATTCGATTTCTACTAAATTTGCGTGGCATTTGCGTCTAAGGGCTTGTATTAAATTTGGTGCACAATTAATTTGAAATCGGATAAAGATATATGTGGGAGCTATATCCAAATCTGAACCGATCTCGATAAAATTTGGCAAAGGTATTTCTGTCGTATATTTCCCCTGTGGCTGTGGAGAAAACATATAATAAATTGAATGAACATTATACATATTAGCTATAGCTATATCTGAACCGATTTTCACCAAATTTGACATACTTGTTTCTAGCATCAATATGGTCGCAAGAGCCAAATTTCATCCCATTTGAGCTAATATTATACGTTTGGTCCACAATAAAAAGCAAATACGAAGATATACATTTGAGCTATATCCAAATCTGGACCGATCTCGATAAAAATTTAGCAAAGGTATTTCTGAGCTGTAATTGATATATTTCATCAAGTATCGTTGTTACAGAGTGCATATTACGGCAGCAGAGGACAAAATTAACAAATCGGATGAACAATATATATGGGAGCTATAACTATATCTGAACCGATTTCGATTAAATTCGGCATACTTATTTTCAGGCCTAATTTGGTCGCATGTGCAAAATTCCTACAATTTAGTCTGATATGTAACGTTTAGTGCACAATAAGAGGCAAATCGGACGAATTTCAATACGGTTCGTCCTTGGGTCAAACAAATAATGTGTACAAAATTTCATCAGGATCGGGCAATAAATGTGACCTGTTCTTTGTTTACAAAAATACACGGGCAGATGGACGGACGGCATGCATACATTGACTCAGAATGTGATTGTATGCCGATCATAAAAAGGAACTATAGACCTTTTGCCTGTTACAAACAAATGCACAATGACATAATACACTGACCACATTGTGGTGTAGGGTATAAAAAAGCGATAATTTCCAAGTAGTGGATGTTATGAAAGGTTCGTTCCGGTCGATCTTCATACTTTTTTACTTGTGTTTCTAAAAAATAGGAATTTATGCTGATCCTAACCTAACTGACAAAATGATACCTTGCTGTTTTTTTAGCACCTTTTTGTATGCATTTCCACAAATTCCAATCATCACTCACCAAGATCTACCTACATGCCAAATTCCAAAACTCTAGATCTAACTCGTTTGTCTGGGAACTGATAAGGCGATCTGTAAGTCATATTTTATTTTTTATGTAGATAAATAAACCTTTGATATATGATTCCCAAATAATTTTCTTTTAAGCGATATGGAAAAAATACCGTTCTGCCAATTCCCATTGATGTTAGGAATTTGTAATGTTT